GAATGAGATTATAAGGCGATGATATGTAATCATAGATAAACTTGCCTTAAGGCATTCGATTGAATCGATATGTAGATATGTATTTAATTACAACCATGAATTCTAACTCTAACTTTCAGGATTTTTAAGATGAATATCTATTTTTCTCATTTCAATAGAAAAAATAATATGAATGAAAATAGTCGATCAAATACGAAACTATATATTATTCAAATCAAACAACATTTTTATCTTACTTGTGATGTCGGTGGTTCATATAAATCAAGTTTTAATTTTTCAACAACTTTTTCAAAATCTTCTGCATGAAAACAAACAACATCTTTCACCATTCGATTAATCGTTGCTCTTAAAATAAATAAATAAAAAAATTATCTTTTTTTGTTTTTTTTTTCTTTTCAAAACAAATAACTAACGGTGTTCCACAATGTACAGCTTTTAAAATTCCAACAGCAGCTGTCGTTTCAACTCCATCACCATCACAATGATCACTATGTGCTTTTGTTCTATCTTCAACTAATACTTCTCTTGGATCAGTTCCACGTCCAGTAAATGTTAAATTTCTTAGTTCATTTGTCATTCGTTTTTTTGGATGACAAATTTTATGTTCAGCTGTTGGAACATATTGTTCACCAGGTCGAACCCATAATATTGGTCCATCATTTGATTCTGTTCGAGATTTCATTTTAACTGATGACAATGGTCCCCATGGCATAACATGTTGTAAAAATGGATTTTCTTCTAATTTATCAATAAATGCTGGAAAATAATCACCTAAATAATAAGAAAAACAAAAAAAAATTTTGTTTTTAATTGAAAATTGTTTGTACAATCTCTATAAGATTAATAAAATCTAAAATTATGCAAAGTTCAAATAATTTTCTCATTAATTCTTTAGAAATACAATAAGAAAGTAATTTATATACATAGTACTATACAGTCCGTTCTATTGTATTTATGCCTGTCACGTTTTGTGAGTCTCTGACTGACGTCTGTCATGTTTTCTGACTAGTGTCTTTTCTTATTATAGCCTCTAATAAACATTTGTCACGGTCTATGACACCCTTTGAATAATATCTATTAAAGTGTTCTTTTAACTTTTTGATGCCGGATTTATTTTTATTATAAAAATTAAAAATCTATTTTATCAATAGTATCTATGTCTGAATACAACAAATATTGAAAAAGATCTATTTTACTATATATAAGTTTCGTTGTTCAAGAGTTAAATACTATATATGGCCTTACCACATTCTTCTTTGCCAGTTACTTTTCCAACTAATGATATACTCATTAATGGTCCATAACGAAATGTTCCATTTGAATATGTTTGTACAATACGATTTCTATATTCTCCCATTGTTGTTGTTAAAACTTCTTTTGAATTAATTATATTTGATGTTTTAACAACCATTTTTGGATATGATAAACTAAAATAATCAACTAAATCAGGTAAATATCTTGCACCATCATGTAAAACACCAATAGAATATTTTGCACGTTGATTTATTTCACCATAAACAAGATTAAAAAAATAATTAACAAATAAATTTGCATTTTCATTTGATAAACGTAAAAATTCATTATAATATGTACGTATTAAACTTGCACCACCATTTGGATGTTCTTCTGTATGTATTAATGTTTGAAATAATTGTAAACGATCATGATTACTATTTGTTAATGAAAAATCAATATATGGTGATGAAAGTTTTGATTGTTGTTCATATATATTTGTTGGTGAAGATATTGATGATGGTGATGATGATGTTGATGGTAATGAACATCTATCTGATATACCATCATATTGTGTATGAGTTGTTTTTAAATTATATAAATAAACTTGAGAATCATTTGGACAATTAAGATCTGTTGTTTGAGTTTCTTGTTCTTCTTTACGTATTGTTTGTGTACTATTTTCACATAATGGTTGATCAATAAAATCTGTATAAGTTGATTTATCTGATTTAATTAAACAATTTGTTTGTATTGATTGATGAAATACTTCAATTATATCATCACATGTCTGACATTCAATTGTTTGATATTGTTTGGAAGAAGATAATGATGAATATAGATATTTATATTCACCATTTGGTAAATCATCTATCGTTGTTGTTGAATGATCAGATGTTTGTGTTGTTATTAATTCTGTACTTAAATTACGTTTTATTGTTGCTGAACGTTTATCAATTGATGAATCATGATTATATGTATTTAATGATGAATAATGATCATTAATAGGATTATATTTTTGTTTTAAACGAGATGATGAACGAGTTTGTACAGGAGGATTTGAAGATTCTATTAAATAAAAAAATTTGAATCAGTTTTTTTTTTTTATTCAAAACTAGAATTGATATAAAAGAATGATTTGTTGTAGAATTGCATAGAACTTATATTTTATTCAATGAGACGATAGAGTCCTTCCGAAAGAAAAAGTCTGGAAATTACATTTTTATGCAATAAAAAAAAAAAAATTTTAATTATTTAATATTGATTTAATGATTAAAAGACTCATACAAAAAAGAACTCAATATAGTATCATTAATAAATTATTTCATATAAATCTACTATTTATTATAATATGTTCTGAATTCAAAGAAAAACGACTAAAATGATCGAGATTATCTATTTTTTTTGAGATATAAAACTATATGCATATCTTTCAAAGAAGGTATGAGTATAATAAAATCAAATGTTAATACTATTAGTACTAAAATTTCATAATAGTAAACGTAATTTCAAGTATTGCGCAAATTCGACGAAGATTTGGACAAAAAAAAAATAATCGATAGACAGTCTGATTAGTAACAAGAAGAAAAGGATGGCTACTTCACATCAAGACTTATATTCCTAGATGTAGAATTTCGACAGAAACATTTTATGATAAAAGTATTACATTTGCTATTTGAAAGTTCATTTTACGATTTATATCTAACTAGTAAATTAGATATTATTTGAAAGTTTTATATTCTTTAAAGGAATTTTGTTCAAAATATGAATTTTCTGAACACCTGAAACTACTAGAAAAAAAAAAAAAATTTTTTTTTGATAGTTTAGTCAAATCTCAATAGGAATATTTATTCGTTTAAATGTTTTATTAGAACACTATGTAGTATCTATATGCAAAAAAAAAAAAAAGAAATCATTGAAATCAGAAAGAGATTCATTCGTAAGAAATTAAAGAGAAAACTCTTCTAGACATAGATAATTGAAATTTTAGAAAAAAACTTACTATTATTATTTGTTTGTTGTTTAATTGTTTTTGTAGTTAATTTCGTTCGTTTTTTTTCTTGTTGTTCATTTAAAGATTTACGTTTATTTCCATTTGTTTTTGTTGTTTGTTTTTTTAATGTATTTTCATCATATATATTTATATGATTATCTGTTATTGTTTTTGGAAGATTATATATTGATGAAGATGTATTATATTGATCAGTTTCAATTAATGATGTACGTCTTGTTGATATAAGACGACGTGAAAATTTATTATTTGTTAGTTCATTTGAATTAAAAAATTTTCTTGATATTATTCTTGTTGTTGATTGTTGGTCATTAGTATCATTTGATTGTTGTTGTTGTTGTTGTTGTGATAAAAGATTTGTTGTTGGATGTATTAATACTGTATCATTTGATGATGGTGAACACACACGTCGAATATGTAATTTAATTGATGCATGTTCATTTGGTACATCAATTGAATGTATTGTTGTTGTTGTCGATGATGTTGCTGGTGATGATGATGATGATGATGTTGAACAATTTGATGTTAATATATTATATGAAGATGTTTGAACTTGTTGATTATTTGTTTTACATTTAATTATTTTTGTTTTAACTGTTTGTTGTTCATCATCATCATTATCATTTATTGTATCATTAATATTATTCGACATTGAATTATTTTTATTATTATTTAAATCATTGATATGATCATTATTTATAGAAGATGTCTAAATAGATAGAATCGTTTAAGACAAAGAAAAAATAGATCATTGTTACAAGATAACAACAACAACAAAAAAACCTTTGTTTCATCGGCTATTGGAATAATATTACTTATATCAGTCATTAGTTCATTTGTATCTGAAAATTGCAATTATTTATTTCATAATTTGTTTTTGTTTTCTTTTTTTTCTTTTTTTATATTTGTTTGATAAGATCTTTTTTTTGATAGCGATGTTTCAATTGAAAAAAAAAATACATAATAGTCTTGATCGGACAAAAGGGAAATAGAGAAGACAGAGAGAGACAGAGAGAATCTTTTATAAACAATTATAGGTATTTTAGATAACAACCAATTGACAAATGAGTACCATGATGAATCACAATGAAACTCTAGAAGTCATTAAGTTAAATATTAAATAAACTAATAAAATGATTTAATTTGTTGAATAAAATTTATTTCAAAATGTTTTTATTATAGAATTGAACATATTTTATTGAGATAGATGTCAGTCATAATCATCATTTGTAAGTGATTACGTAGAAAGAAATTGTAATAAAACTAATCAATAGAATGAATTTTCTGATTGATTTCTTGTTAAAAGAGAAATAAACGAACGATTATAATCGATTCTCTATTTGTTTTCTATAGAAAAGAACGAAAGGAAGATTTTTTTGCATTCAATGTTTCTTGTTTTTGTTCTTTTTTCTTCTCCATTTTTTTTCCTGTACAATAACTATACAGATGGTTAGACATGAAGAGTAGTAAGAGAAAGAGAATCATATGCGAGTAACTCGTCTTCGTTCTATTCTATGCCATGATACATACACATTTACAAAGCATACATAGCCTTGCTATTAGCAATTTTTCTAGTCGCTCACGCACCTGCTTCTCATGAAATATGTCAAAAAGAAGAACAGAAAAAAATAATAAATGTCAATAACGCCTTCGATCGTTTTTCTATTTCAATCTTTTTTTTATAAGAACGAATAAAATAATAAAACTTCAATCAACTCTTCTTTTTTTCTTCTTTTCTTTTTCTCTTAATATCATAATGATATTTCTCATAAATTTCTTATACTTCCTAATAACTATTGTTCAATTAACAATTGCTGACTCATGGACAGAAACATCAACTAATTGTTTATGGCATAAATATACTTCTAATAATCGTGTAACAACTAGAATTGATTTACGAGATATACGTAATCAAATATTCAAGTAAGTTAAAACTTTTTAGTTTTGATTTTATTCATAAATTTACAAAAAATTTTATAGTGCTTCATTAAATGAATCAATTTATTATTTTAATCCATGTAAAACATTTAATTATCCAATTGGTGATGATCCATATTCAGTTCAAGGTGAACAATGTCATAATGTATTAGGTTGTAAACGTATACAACTAAATGAAAATTCTTATGAATATTATACAGTTGCTATTAAATTAAATTCAACGATATTATCACCAAGAACACCATTAACTATTCGATATTATGGAATAAAGTATACGAAAACAAACAAAATTTTATTTTTCGATTTTTATCAAAAACAATAAAATTTTCGTTTTTTTTCTTTTTTGAGGTCATATGCAAATAAAACAATGCATGTTCGATGTGAATGTAATCGACAGATACATCGTGCACAATTTAAATTTGTTAAATATCAACATAATAATATGCCGGTAGGGATTAGTTTTAGATATTCGTTTGATAAAAGAAAACATCAGTAGTGATATTATATATATAGATTTTCGCCTTGACGCATCGTTGTTGTTGTCCAAATTTTTGTGGAGGTTCTTCTTAACATTTCAATAAATTATTTTCATTTATTTTTTGTATCATTTTGTTTTTTCTTTTTTTTTTTGAATCAATAGGCAATACATTTCCTAAAACACTCTTACTTATTCTTCTTTTGGTAATCTTATTCATTATCGGTACAGCTGTATGGATCTTTTTTCAATGTCGTCGACATTATCCTGAACGAAATACATATGGTGCAATAGCTTCTAGTAAATATAATTATTTCTTTTTTTTTCTTTTTGTTTTCATATACAATATTTCAAATTTAAAAAAAAAAATCAATAGCGGATATGCATATACATACATTGGAACCGTCAGAAGTACTTAAATCTACTACAAGTGAAATCAATTCTCGAGGTTTAACTAAAAAACGTACACGTAGTAAATCCATAGTTACTATTCATGAAAATTTCATTATCTCATCTGATGATTTTAAAATTATCAAACGGTAAAAACAAATCAATATGTATATATATATATATTTCATTTGTTTGTTTTGTTGTTTTTTGTTTTTAGATTAGGTGTTGGTGAATTAGGTGGTGAAGTAAGTCAAGGACGATTGAATGATAAATTAATTGCTATTAAAACATTACGTATTGGTGTACATCCAGAAAAATTTTCTTCTAATGATAAAACATATCTTGAAAATGAAATGCGTTTATTAAGTAAAATACGTCATAAAAATTTAACAACAATTATTGGTCTTTGTTTTGATATTGATGTTTATCCACGAATACTTTTATCATTTTCTGAACATGGTACAATTATTGATTTTATTCGATGTTTTCCAACAAAAGTTGATTGGCCATTACGAATAGCATGGTGTATAAATACATCTGATGCACTTGAATATTTACATCAATCAAATATAATTCATAGAAATTTAAAATCATCAAATATTCTTATTGGTGTTGATTTACGTGCACTTATTTCTGATTATGGTCTTATTTCAATTCTTCAACCACTTCGACAAGCATGTGATAGTGAACGTTGTCTTTGTAAATTAAGTCATCCAGCTTTACCGGTGTCTATTCGTTGGTCATCACCAGAAATTTTATCTGATCCATCAGATAGTTCAAGATTTAATTATTCATGTGATGTTTATTCATTTGGTGTTTGTCTATGGGAACAAATACGTTTAGAACAACCATATGCTGAAATAAAAGATGAAGCAGAAGTTAGTCGAATGATTGTTGATGGACATCGTTTAACATCATTTGAAGAAACAGCAACTATTGTTATGTCTGATTATAATCAATTAATGAATGATTGTTGGGCAAAAAATCCCAATGATCGACCAACATTTGAACGTATTGGACAAATTTTACGAGATATATCACCAAAAGCAAAACAATTTCGAAAATCATCTATGAAAAGATTTTCATCAATAATAAATACAAATGATATGCAAGATGAACATCGATCGTATTCAAGACTTGATTCTAAAATATCTACAGATACAGCGAAACTATCTTACCCACATGTTTAATACATAGAAATGCTAGATATTTAGTAGGTTTATACAGGTGAAATATACAACTGATATTTTGAATTAAAAATAAAAAAGCAATGAATATTTTTCATTTTTATCTTGTTGATTTCAATTATAAAATACATGGAAAAAAATAAAATTAATAGTAACAATGTATATCTATTCGAGTTAGTACTGTTTTCATTGATAACTAAAGCTAATCCAACATGAAATGTACGTAAAATACTTTCAATAAAAGCAATTGTTGTTGTTCGTCTTTACCAAGATTTGATAGTAGAAATGATTTAGAAAGAAAAAAAACAGCATGGCGTTCAAATTTCACTTGAATACGAAATGCAATGTAAGGTACAACATTTTCATTGTCGAACAAAAACGATATCTCATAGTAATACATTGTATTTGGTTAAAGTAGATTAATTCAATATGAATATAATATTATGTGCTTAAATGAATTTTAAATTCGACATAGATTTTCTTATTGATAGATCTTTGTTAACTGATTGATTTAATTCAAACAATTAAACATTCATTAATGGTTTGTCTAATTTACTATTGAAAAAAAACTTTCGATAAAAAACTTGTGTTAGCCCAGGTCGAATTCACCCTGTCGAATCCGATAGAAATTCGCCGGAATTTGTCGAAATCCTAACCACAGGATTCCGACAAGTGGTTCTGGATGTCGGAAAGTGTCGGAGTTTCAGGGATTTCGCAGGATCCTGATTATTCCGACATCCGGAACCTCCTGTCGGAATCCTGTGGCTAGGACGCCGACAACTTCCGACGAGTTCCCGTCGGATCCGTTAAAATCCGGTAATTTTTCCGATATAATCCGATATAATCCGACGTAATCCGACAGTCGGATCGAATCACCTGGGAGGCTATATCAACAGCTGGATGTGCCGTTGATTTGTCATTATATCTAATAGATATAAGAAGAACTCGTCTTCAACAAAAGAAAAGACTAAATAGACGAATATTATTTTCATCATTATATTCTGGTATTGATTCTGTATTAATTGGAAGTGATCCATCATCAACTTTAGTTTATTCTAACTTATTATTTAATAAAACAAACATTGCCTATATCATCTCAATCGAAAATTCATATAATTACTGCAATTTATGAAGAAATTCTATTTGAATTATTAAATTTCTTTAAAAATAAATTCTTTTCGAAAGTCAAATATTTCGAGTGCATGTCTTATACGTGTTTCTGTTGAAGTTATTAAACAACAAACACAAATTAATAGAAATTTATGTTTATCAACAATTGCTCAATCATGTCTTCATCGTGAAGTTTATACCCTTAGTTGTTTTTAATTTCAAAAACAAATCTAATGAAATTTTTGTCAAAGGGTTTATTAGATCTTTATCGAGGATATTTTACAATCCTATCACGAGAAATTTCTTTTTCAGTTATTCAATTTTTATTTTGGAAATTATTTAAAGTTTGTTCTTTTTTTTATTCTTTTTATACTTATTTTAAAAAACTAAAAGGAATCTTGGCGTTCTAAATAAGGTATTCGGTATCTCAATGGCAAGGAGCTTTATGCGGATCTGTAGTTGGTGTCAGAGCAGAATTTATCACAACTCCATTTGGTTAATTTAGATTTTGTTTTTTTTGGCGCTTTTGAATTAGCTACATCATTATCTTTTCTAATAAGTCTTACATTGATTTGATTTTTTTCTTTGTTATTGTTTGTAATTTAAATCATATTAGATTATATTTTCAAATATATTTTTAAGTTATTTAATATTAAATTAATATTTATTTATGAAAGAGAGTTTTTTTTTAATCAAATATCATTCCCTAGTCGAACATCTTGTAAGCAAGATCTTGGTCAAGATCTTAGGTATAGAAAAGTGAACAGATCTTGAGAATTTAGGTATAAGATAATACGATTATCTTGTGCCAAGATCTTGAATTAGATCTTGAGTACACACTAAGATAAAACGTGTTGCATGTGCCGTGATTTACGACACAATGCATGATACATTCTGAAAGCATGATTCGAATCTATCATATAGTGCAGTTATTATTTTTTTCTGTAAAAGCATGTTACGACATTTTTTCAATTTATTTTCATTTTAATTATTCCTATGCCGAATAACTGAAGCAAGTCAGATTTTGGAATCTACCTGACCTTGAGATGGTCAGATCTCCATCAGACTCTTTCAGGGTAGTCGTCTCTCGATCATCGATTGTGATCAGCATGTTCTCGAATAATCAGTAGTCGAGAAATAGTTTAGAAAAAGATTTTTTTGGAATGAACAAATAATTGTCTACATGTTCTTTCAGAACAGCTAATATCAATCTTCCTTTTTTTCTATGACATATGGAACAATGGCTGTCAAGTTTAAGCTTGAGAAATATCTTGTGGTCAAGACAATCAAAAAAAACAGGAGTGTAAACCACCGTGATTCACATCTATGTCGTTAATATGAATACAATCAAAAATAGACGCATGTCACTTCTAAGTACATCGAATTAGTACTAATAATAATGTTAATAATGGGTGATGCAAAAGTTCTGCATTAATTTTCTTTTCAGTATAGTGTGGCAACGAATCATAATAGAGACTCGAGCTTTTTCTCGTTGGATAGAGCTAAGAATCTACTACAAAATTGTGTAAAAATATTTGATTCAATATATTTACCAAAGGGTAAAAAGTCTTGAGAAAACGTTAGATCGAAAAGTGTCTTTCAAGTTAACTCAAAATTAAGGATGAGAATTGTATTTGTTTAATTTGTTTTGCACTTGGCTTCCGATGTTTGAAGGCACGTTATACATGAGTCTGACCAATACAACGTGGATTTTCTAATCATACAAAAACATTCGAATGACCAAAACCATAGGCTTCAAAGGAAACAGTTTTATTAAAAAGTTGATTTGCTTTCTACAACGTTCAATGAATGTTTTCTCACAATGTCTAATAGAGAGACTGAATTCTGTTTTATATTATATGATTTTGGAAAGGACTAAATAAGCTTTAATTGCATATAAAATAGGCGGTTTCTGCTAACTTTGATGCTGAAATAGATCTTATGTTTCGAAGTCATTCATTAGTTGCTAAAAATTTGCACTAACAAAAGATGTTAGAAAAATGTTGATTTCAAACTCAATTGGTCGTTTGAAAACCTTCTCTTTGCGTGTTTACAATGACCGATCGTAGCGCTACAAAATCTGATAAAAGCTAAAATAAAAAGATCAACTTTCTTTATTGATAGAATTTCTTCTTCGGTATTCCGGAAGTTGAAAGGCACTTTTCCAGTTCAACGTGTTCTTACCTAGCTGTAGGTTTCCAAATAAAAATATTGAAAGACTTCTCCCTTCATTCTTAGTAATTTATTAGAAAGCATGAGAGACTACATAAAAACGTTACTATCAATAAAAACTGTAACAGTTACAAGTGTTTCAGTTGAACTGTCTATGTTCAGCCGAAGTGAGAAATTTTTCTTATGAAAACTAGTTGATTGATGGATATATTGAACAGATCGGTTTTTCATTACTTTTCTGTTGCTAAAATTAAGAAGTTTATTCAAGAGTACTCAAGTATGTAAATCAAAAATAGTTCAATGATAAAAATTTTGATAATTATTTATTTATTACAAATAAATTCCACAGCTTTCATTGTCCATTCTTGTAAAATATCTGGTTCTTCTAAATCATGATCATTTGTATTTAAAATTAATGTATTTTTAAATTGATCTTTAATACTTTCAATAGGAACAATAGCATCTTGAGTACCATGTATATGAAGTATTTGATTTTGATAATCATTTAATTTAAATGAAAAATCTTCTTGTGAACATAAACGAATAAATTCATATAAAATTTTATGTGCTCGATGTGATTTACAAGCATCAATTGGTTTATTATTTAAATATTCTTGAAAATCTAATTCTTGAAAATCTTTTTTAAAATTTTCCCATGTAATTAATCCATGTATTTGTTGCATATACCAATAACGATGAAGATCATATTGATTTAATGCTGGTGCAAGTAAAATAATTTTTTCAATCGTAAAACAATTTTGATTAGAATTTAAAAATTTCGTAATGACACAACCACCAAGACTATGACCAATAAAAATAAAGTTTTTATAAAAATTTAATAAATATTTCATAGCATGAGATAGATCATCAACCAGTGTATCAATTTTCATTTTATAATATTTACCATCAGATAGACCAATACCTGTTGGATCATAACGAAAAACACAAGCAACTGGATTTGATGGTAATAAAAGTAGTTCTTCAGTTAAATTGATAAATTTAGGTGCCGTTGATGATAAACCTTCAAAACCAGCTACACAAACTAGAGCAGTTTTTGATATTGAATTTATTGATTCAATTAGAATACCACGTAGAGTTATATCACGACTATTTTTAAATTCAACAAGACGTGTACTAAGCATTATACTGAAATGAACAGATATCTTACAAAAGCATAGTTTATATACATCATGTCTTAATTGAGTGTTCTGATTTTATTTCTCTTGCTGTGAACCATTAACGTTTGATTTTTGTTTTGGTAATTGGTTTATTGCGACAAAGTATAGACTTCACTGCTTCTAGAGTCAGGTCGGATCCGGGTTCTAGGATGTTAGATCCGATGAGCTCTAGTTGTCTGAGAAATGTGAAGAATGCGCTTGCTAGCGAATACACAAAGCTGGAAAAATAAGCCTCATATCTTCGGGATGATGATCAAAGTTTGATTAGAAAATTTTATGGAAAGTATCAATGTACGATTTGGTGGGCTCTAACCACTTCGCCTGATGTATTAATTATAAATAACATATAAAATTCGAAGAAAAAAAATATGGTGTATTTTTTACTACAATGTACAATAAGAGTAAATCTAGTTTTTCTTTCTGCTTTTCTTTTTATACGTATGAACATATTTACAGCCTCCGTTATATCTGAGTTAGGAGTGCACCAAATCCAAATTCTATCAAATCCAAACATTAGAATTGATTGAATTTGGATTTGGTTTTGACTATTGAATTTCTTTCACGGGTAATCAAGATCGGGAGAATTTGAATCAGTTATTAGCTTCTCGAAATTTTGTACTGGATGTATTGCTGAACTTTTCTACAACAGATTTTCCCAGAATGAGAAGTGAAAGACAACATTTTGTAAGACTGAGAGCAGATTTGGAATCTCTGACCCTGATTATTCTCAGTATAACTTTATAGAAATCGTTATTCAACTCAAAAACCCTTAAAGATAAAAATCAAATACAGAATTTCGAGGAACTAACGGCAGATTCGAATTTCTCGACTCCGATTACCTGTGATAAAAATTTACCAGTCAAATCCGAGTCAAACTCAAACAAAGAATGGAATTTGGTGCATAACTAATCTGAGCACTAGAAAGTTTATTTTCATCAATCTTCGTATCTCAATAAATACTTCAAAAATGGTCGAAGTAATATTTATTCATATGTGCAAAAGTACAGGAGAGACAACAACTCGATTTACGTTTATTGTACATTGGAGTAAAAAATATAGATCTGTGCTTTCTCGCTATATACTAATTACAGGCAAAACAAACAAACTGCAGTAGCTTTAAGCAAGAAAAACGAAGACTCAAAATTCAATTGAGGCTCTCTAACAGTTTTTTCACTGTTTTTTACAATTACCTTTCTTGTTATTACAGTATCTATTCTATCATACTATCTGTTCTTTTATATAAATATCCGATGACTTGTAACTGCGTACTAAACGACCGAAGATTATTTCTTATTCGTATAATGTTTGTTTCTCTCCATCTAGTTAGTGATCATACATTTGAACAACTAAATAAATTTAAGTGAAATCAAATAGTTATATCTAAAGGAAAAGAGGGTTCTCTTATTTATGTACAATATAAAATAATCGAGTTTTTCTAAACTAAAAACAAGAGTATTTCCGATCAACAACAAGGTTTAACGCTTATAGAGATCAATAAGTACGTAGACTTACAACGAAACTGATCAATGGCTTTTGAATTCAGACTTTTTTTGCATGCAGTAGATGCTAGTGAGATATCAAAAAGTCTCATAAGTATAGACTCTCTTAGACCTTCTATGAAGAGTTGTAGACATTGCACAGAAATATCAGCCTCTGACATGGTATATACCAGTAAATCGAAAGATGTTATATCGACCTAAGATCTTATCCACAGACAGGTTTATTGAACAGTGGAATGTCCTGAAAATTTCAGGTCAAAATGAATACTTTCTTCCCGAGATATGAAAATTTCAAAAAATTACTCGTATTCCACGAAAGATGCTGGAGTTTCTTTTTTTTGGGACTTGAATATTTCGACAAGAAAGTATTTTTTGGTCTGAAATTTTCAGAACATTCTACTATTCAATAAACCTGCTTGTGAACAAAATCTTAGGTCGACATACTATCATTTGATTTGCTGGCATATACCATGCCGGACACTAACATTCCAGCAAAATGCCTATAACTCTGCATAATAGGTCTACGAGAACCTATCCTTTTGAGGCTTGTGTATATCTCACCAGTATCTACTTTATGCAAAAATAATCCGAATTCAAAAGCGATCGATTATTTGAAAACATTCTCTCGTGAGTATTGATAAAATGTTCTTTATTACATTCTATAAATGGCGCGAAACTGAAAGTAAACAAAACAAAAACTCAAGGATAAAATGTCGTTATCTTTGTTATCAAATGAAAATAATACCGAAACATTTAATACAACCAAAAAAAATACAATCAAATTAACAACATTAACAATAATAGATAATGAAGATATATGGTATGATATTAAAGTAATAAAAAACAAAATATATTTTTTGAAAAATTAAAAATTTAAACTTTTACTTTAGTCATTTTTTAATCTTCAAAATTCATTAATTCTACTTGCAATAATTTCTATAATATTTTTCTTTTTTTCATTATGTCTTATTTTTATTCTAATACGATTAATAAAAAAAAAACGTTTCTATAAAAAACAAATTAAATCATCAATAAATAATTATACAGATATTAATTATCCATTTCAAACAAAAAAATCTTCATCTCCTATTCAAATGGGTTTAACATCAAATCAAATAGCATCACGTAGAAATATTATTTCAATAAATAAAGATTCTCCATCAACAATTAATCATGTACAAAATGAAAATAAACGAATATGGAATGAAACATCAAATACAATAAATCCAACAACGACAAATGATGATGAAATTGAAACAGTTAATGAAGTTCTTGGAATGGAAGAACGTAATGGAAAAATGTATTATAAAGTTAATTTTACTGGTCATTCATCTGATTATACAGCTTGGGTTTGTGAAGAAGATTTAATACCTGAATAATGACATTCATATTTTACTTTTTCTTTTTTTTTCAAAATTTTTCTCGTATTGAAAATTGATCTCCAACTGTGAGAGAATAAATAATAAAAAGAAATAGAATGACATTAACAAAATATTAATTTCATGTTAACAGAAGTTATGCTAAATAGACGTAGATTTTTTTTGAAATGGATATCAATTATAATTGCATATATATGTATTTTTTTACTGAGTTACGAATATGGTACAAATAGAAGACAGACTCATGTGGAAGAAGTAACCACTGAACCACGTCATTTAACCATTAAACGACTTTTTCATGATCATGTAGAATATCTTAATTCATCTATGATTTTAAAAATGATTAATAAGGAATTAAAACATTTATTATCTTTTGAGATGGATAGTACCATTAATCAAACTTCAGTTATTCGTCATGGTCTTGTTGTTTTCTATGATTTTTCAAATCATCATATACTTTTTCAACAATTTCTATGGTTATATTCATCATGGCTTCAATTACGTAAACATACTTATATTCAAAATGATCTTATTTTATTTATTTCTTCATCTATAATACCTAATGATTTTAAAAAACTTAAAAATATAACTAAAAATTTAAATAATAAAAATCAATTTATTATTTATCCATGTGTAACATTAATTGATTCAATATTAAATAAAAATTATAAAATTTTAAATGATTTTTCAATACATTTTCATATGGAACTTGCACGTTTATTTTATTGGCAACAAACACATCTTTCATCATTATTATTATTTCTTATTAATGAATATAAAAATAAATTATTAATCTATGATTATATATTTCGTTTAGATATTGATTCATTTTTAATGTCAAATTTTCGTTTTTATCAACAAACATCATCATTTATACTTGGTGAAACTATACCTTATGATCAATATACATTAAATAGATTAGAAAGAATACAAAAATATTTTTATTCAAAATCAAAATCAAAAATAATGAAACAATCAATAACAATAAGTTGGTTTGGTCGTTTAAATTTAATCAGTAAATTAACACGTCAAATAATCTTAATGGCTCTATGGTTAATTAAAGAAGAATTTACTGAATCCGAACGTTTACATCATTTAACTTATTTAAATTATCCATCATGGTATATTGATGGAATATTTGAATATGCAACAGCTATTATTCTATCACTTAATCAATATGAAAAATATTATCAAAAAACTTCTCATCAATTTGATTGTCATCATTTACTAACCAATTGTCTTCATATATCTTTTCGTGATCCATCACATCATTTACATTTATCTAAACATTCACTTTATTTATTAACAACTTTTAATCAAAGTAATTTAACAAATAATGAATTATATATATATAGAACTGTGATTAAATCCAATGGAATGTTTCAATTATATTTTTCATAGTTTAGATTGTATGCATCTTTTCTTCGAAATAAAAATTCTTGTTCGAAAAATAAAATATTTCGCTTCGAATAACGCCCTATTTAGTACCTTTTCAATTCGATTATAATTCATAAAATAAAAGACAATGATAAACCTTCACGTATCTTTATGATTAGTTTCATTTTCGAATGGTTATTAGTTGAACAGAACTCATATTATTATCCGACTTAAACTAAATGATATAGATTCAGTCCCATTTCGTTGACTAATCAAGACCAATTAGACAAATTTTCCAGTTAATCAACAAAATTGTTTTTCTACTTTCCTTGGTTTAGAAACATGGATATATATGAAACAAATATTCTTCGATGTAAATACCAGTAAAAAAATTCAAATGCGAATATTCACAGTTCAGAAAAAGTTTATGCATTTACATTTATTAAACAAAAGCAAAACAAAAAAAAAAATTTATCAAGACGCAACAAGTACAAATGCAACTGTATTCATCTAACAAGAAATAACTTCATATGAAATTGGTATTGAAGTAACGGAGAAAGACTCGAGAAATCTCTGTAACAAAAGAAAACTTTAAAATATAAATATTATCGTTTTTTTTTCTCGTTTACCTGATCTGATACAGATCGAAGTTGAATATGTAATCGACGTAAACATTTTAATTTGTTTTGACATAAACATATCACAAATTTAATATGATCATATAATTGATTGTTTTTGATTTTTAATGATGTATTAACTGTTTGAATAAGTTTAATATATTGTAAAAAAGGTGCTATTTGAAATAGTAACGTAAAGAATTCTAACGAATGATCAGTTGATATACAAACTGATCGTAATGAAAATAATAATAAAGGATTTCTTAATTCATATGTATAAGGTTCAACTATTGATTGTGAGAGATCCTAATTATACAAAAAAAATTAAATGTTAAATTATTAAGGATACACATTTGCTTTCTTTTAGAACATTTCTGACTCTTTCGAACGGGATACAAGCGATTCACCTGATTAATTTTTTCACATAGATAGAGCACCCAAAAAAAAAAGTGGATTGTTGTTCGAAGAAAGAAATTTTAAGCAAGATTTTCTCGTGAAAACTCTAGTTTTCCATCAGGTCTAAATGAGTCCACTTGCAATTCTCATTTTCATTTCTGACTTTCCTATCTACATACATAGAATTCTGAATGCCACTATTGAGGTTTTGGATCCACATCTTGACGTATTTCTCTCATTTAAAAAAAACCCAGCAAAGTTTCTCAAAAGCTTAAAATCACTTCTGAGATTTAGTCTATCGTTCTTTCAACAGAATATTCGACTCGATCGGACAAAGTATGAGAGAAGTCGTAGGCAGGTTCGATAGGGTCCTATAAAAAAAACTAGATTTCCTGAAAAAAACACTCTTGTTTACAATTGTTTTTCTTGAACACATCTCTCGTTGTTTTAGGTGATCTATCTACTATAAAAGTTTCAGGCAGACTGGTTATATATACTCTTTAAGAGTCATATATGGTAGTTCAGCCATAGACATAAGAGTTAATATCGCTCATATTCCATAGTATTTTCATAATGCGTTAATAATACATGAAGCTAAACTATCTATAATTTCATGGATTGATGTAACTTAACATGAAATGATTTGTTATTATTTTACAATCATGTTAACATCTGATATGAAACTTATTTGGATTTTTTACGACCAATATCGATGTCCGTCTAGTGTGGCTAGATTTCATAGAAGTGACCCGTATATTCGTCGGTCTGAAATCTATATCGATACTAGATTGACGAGTTGTCACTTTATTCCATCTGTGAATAGTGATATTTGATGTAGTCAACTTTCAACAAATTTTCATTGCACATCCTCTATCAGATAATAACACCAAGAAAACAAATAACATACACCATATAATGACTCATCAATCTGATATTTTTCTATTAACCGGATCTGTACCTAATAACTTTGTATCGGACGAGTTATACTCTTGACTACATATGACAAAAGTCCAGCACAAAAAAAATTAATCTTAAAACACTTTATTTTATTTAAAAATTTTTTCAGACTTAATATTGTTTCTCCGTACGATGAGTGTATCATCTTCGATAAAAAGAGTTCTATTTAATAAATAATCTTCATACCAATTCACGAATATCAATCTTTTGAAAATAATTCAATGCTCGATCAACATATCGTCGTAGTTTTAACAAGCATACACAATTCCACTGAAAAGAAACAGTTAGACAAATATTTTCATCATAGCAAAAAAAAAATATATCATAACTTACCGATGATGAACGATCAACAAATGTTTGCCATTTCTTTGATACTAATCGACAGCTAAAATTAAATTTTTTTTTTTTTTTTCTAATAATTTTCGATTCAACAATGGTCAATTACTTTAATCTCGTTGATATATTAGTAAAATCAATAATTTTCTGAAGTATTTGTTCATATTTATTTGAATTAAATAAATCTATTTTCTCATCACTATCATCAAGTTTTTTAATAAATAAAGTAATATCATTTTGACACATTCCATTCCATTTTAATAATTCTAAATCTGCTTGTACATAATATGGAAGTATTTTTTTTTGTTTTTTCATTTTTTTTACAGTTTCATCAATATTATCTTTTCTTTTATTATTTTCACCTAAAACTTTTATTGGAGTATAAATAACTGATTTATCAGCAAATATAATTATGTCATAAAGTGATGGATCAACATGACATATATTTGTTACATCTATCACTGATATTGGATTTGAACCAAAGATTTTTTTAATAATAGCTGTTGGTAATTCTAATACAAACAAAACTAATGAAATGAAAAGAATTTATTTTTCCTTATCTACCTAAACCTAATTCATGATTTTTCAAATGTTGAATTATATTTCGATGCAATAGAAAATAACTATTATAGATTTTTATTGTTAAATATTGTCGAGTATTTATACAATTTTGAACTAATTCATATTGATTATCTGACATTGTTGGGAAAAACGTTGTTTTTCCCGTTCTGTTCTTATTTGAATTGAGATTAACAATTAAATTTAATGTATTTATTATTGGTGTTGAATTGAGTGAGGGATATTATTAAATGAAGAAGGGTTTTAAAGCGTCATCTATATGAAAGAATACGAATTGTATTTTATTTTTGAAAGACTTTGAAGTAGAATTGAGAATATTTTATTAGAGAAATCTGATAAATGATCAAATAAGTGAAATTTTTAAATGAATTTTTTTCTCCACCTTCTCATTGGTTATCTACTGATTTTTTGCGAGAACTTTTCTCCCCGATTAGAGGACAATATATCTTTCGAAATTTTTGGATATTTAATAAATGGAAAAAGTAATAGAATTCGACTGGCTATTTCTTGTCAAAGACTAGACTGAAAAATGTTTTTAAAATCTTCATCGCATATGTAATAATTTAGAATGATCTTCCAAGTCAAGAATATATGAAACTTCAGTAAGTTAATGAGATGAATGTATTACCCAGCATGAAGACTAAGTGAGTCGAACTTCATCGAATATTGGTTTGACCACTTCTGAGTTTTAAATCGCTCTTCCTAGAAGATAACATTAGTATAAAAAGAACATCACAAGAAGATTCCTATGTTGTACTTAGGACAAATCAAAAGTTCATAGAACGGTTATAAAGAACCTTGTCGGATAAGGTAACCTATTCAGAAATGAAAAACCAAATATGTCATGTTGTAGAGGTTTTTGAGCTGCGTCGAATGGTATATAGTAAATCCTGTTTTCATAAGACTTTCAAGGAACTAGAGTCAATTTACTGATAGACGACTACACACCCACATTCACATCCACCCATACCCACATTGACAAGATGATCGGAGATGCTACATATTTGAGGTTGTAGCCCGTCAAAAACTCTGCAAAATCGTATGTGAGAAAAAATATTTTACAAATATTTTCGACTAATCCCAAGGACCACAATATTCAGTAACCTATCATACTTAGGTGAAGGTGTGAGTATGGGTGCATAGTCGTCTATCAGTAAATTGACTCTAGTTCCTTGAAAGTCTTATGAAAACAGGATTTACTATATGCCATTCGACACACCTCAAAAAGCTCTACAACATGGTATATTTGGTTTTTCATTTCTGAATAAGTTACCTTATCCGACAAGATTCTTTAAAACCTTTCCACGAACTTTTGGTTTGCTCTAAGTATTAGTGAACAATGTCAATATTCAAATCCGGGATAGAAACATGCCAGACTAAGTTTTTTTTTTTATATCGAATCCGACAACTTTTTTTACACTAGCTCCGTTCCTAGCTTGTTGGATCTCGGTCTACGATAAATCCTTGTTATGTTTATTTCTTTGTCTATTATAATCACTACATTTCAATCGTTTCAAAACTATAGAGTAACGAATCACTCTTGTTTATTTTACTTTCTTAACTAAAAACAACTCATGAAAATAGAAAAAAAAGTACAAACAATATCAAGATAAACAGAAAAGCTGTTTTTTTTAGATTATAATAATTAATGGAGTCAATCCAAGATTCTAATGTAACATATTCACCAACAATTGGTGATGATTGTTTGAAAATTTTTCTTAGCAATCTAGATGGTCGTATAAATACTCAAGATTTACATACATTTTTTAGTCCATTTGGTAAAATAGAACATATTGAATCTTGGACTCCAAAATCTGCTATTATTCTTTTTTCTGATATTGATTCAATTGATCGTGTTCTAACAAAATATCGAAAATGTATTATTAATAAACAAGAAATTTTTATTCGTCGTTTTCGTTATGGATATATCGAGCGTGCCTATATGGATTCAAAAGTTTTATTTATAAAACCAATAATTAATGATTTATCAATAAAATGGAATGAAACAACAATACGTAATTGTTTTCATGAATATGAAAAAACTATTGAAAAAATTCGAATTATATCAAAACCATTTCATGCATTTATTTATTTTAAAGATTATGATATAGTTGATAGAATTCTTCTACAAATAAATAGATTTCATATTGATGGTATATCAATTGAAATGAAACGAGCAAAATCAAATGAAACATACATAGAAGATAATGATAAATATATTGAAGAATTAGTAGAAAAAAATAAATTATTAAAAAAACAAATTGAACGTAAGATTTGATTATTTTGAAAATAAAATTTCATTTTTGTTTTTTATTTTAGAACAAAAAATTCATGCTCGTCATGAAATTAAACATCTTAAACGTAGAATAAATAAATTAAAAAATGAAATGAATGATTTAAAATCACGACGTCGTTATTCAAAAAAATGATTGTACATATTACAAAAAGAAAAAAAAAGCAAGACAGCGTTTTTGTCGACGTTTTTTTTCTACTCGACATGTTGCTTTTCTAGTAGTATTATCAAATTTTTCGATAAATTTGTAAAAAAAAAATTCCAAAATAATAATTGTAAATAAAAACACTATTCAATACTTTTTTTTTTCTTAAAATTATTTTTTTAGACATTATAATGCGTGAATGCTAAAAACTGGCTACTTCGCTAGATATGTTATTACTAGAATAGCGTGAGAATTTAATGTATTGCGTGTGTGTTAAACAAGTTTCAACAAAAGAGTCATTAAGGATTTGATTGAATGTTAATCATATGTAATAATAATAATTTTAAAATGATTTTGAGATATATACACGGAAATGAAAAGTTTAGGCATTGACTGGAATAAAATTACATATATTGAATAGGCAGTCATGCAACCAGATTAGAGGACTCACTACTGGAACTTGTCGAGTTTAACCCAAATCCGATCGAACCGTGCTTTGATACTCTCAATGAAATTTTCTAATTCAAATAGAATCGTCGCCCAGAAAATACAAGGTACTTTCTTCTGGCTTTTTGTATTTGGTGACTAGCGAATCCTATACATTTCTCAGATGACTAGAGCTCATCGGATTCGAGATCAACCCAGTGGGCTTTTCTCTGCACCCAGCCCTTCTTATAACGTCTTCTATGTTGTAAAGCTATTTTTTGTTACACTAGTATGAATAAAATCGAATAGTGCTACATTAAGTTAAAATTCACTTGAAGTAGTGTCAAAATTTAATGAATCTCATGAAGAAGAACTCTCCAAATGTCCAATTTTTTTTGGTCGAGACTATATTCAAATAAGAGACTATGGTGAGTGGCGTAAAAACCTAAGAAGGTTTGGTTGTCTGAGTCTTTGTTCTTGAACTGTCGAATTTTTACTGTATTTGTTAATAGAAAGCTATGATTTCTCTCAGATTGCCCTGGAAATCAAATTTCTAGTTTTCATTCCAGACTTTGCACAAATAAATCTCTCGACGGTACACTAGCTCAATGTGAGAGTTTCACGGATTTTCAGGTCTCCTACTCTGAAATATGAATATTGATCAAACTTTCTGATAAAAGAAAAGGCAATTATTCTTCTTCTGATGCTGGTATCAAATCAGAATAAAAACACTTAAATAAGTGAAGTATCATTGTTGCAAATTTTCAAGATAAAATTTGATTTTCACAGCGGTCTGACGAGACCACAACGTTCTGTTAAAATATTCATTTAAAATTCGATATATCTCAGAGACAAAAACTGAGAAAATTGAATTCCTTTACACTTTTACACTACTCCCCATGGTCTGTATCTCCTAAGTATCATATATGAAGTAAAAATCATTGATTCTGAATTTTTTAAGGCAAAGGAAATCAGATATATTATTTATTATTAATATATTTGAAGTAAATAAGTGATTACCATTCGTTAAAATAAATGGCAATTTGAAAAACCTTTAGAAAATGTAATATTAAGACAGACATTATCGCTTTTTTAGAATTCATGTCTAATCCTAATAAATTCTGCTCGATACAAAGAATCTATTCATGTATGTTTGCACCCATATTTGAAGAAAAATAAGTTTGTGTTTTTTTATAAAATGATCCCAAGCTATTTTTATGTTGTAAAATAATAATCTTATTTTAGCAACGTAATCGGAAGATCGTGTGCGATATCGGAGTGCTCTATAATCCTGAGGGTAATCCACACAATACAGTGATAATTATGATAATTATGATGTTTTTCTTTGTTTGTATGGTAAGACAACGTTTGCCGTAGTCTACCCTTGGTTACGTCACTTATTTTTTTCCGGTTTTATTATTTAAGGAAAGATTATATAAACTCATGAATTGAATACAATTCAAAATTTCGCTTGCAATTTGGATATTAGTATGTTGCTGACAAAGTCTCATGTTTTTTTCTTCCATTTGGTTGTCAGTAAATGCTAGTAATGATAAAAATGGATTATAACGTATACTACAAAAATTAATCTTGAGTTAAAGAAAAAAAGCTTGAGTTTTATTGTAGGAAAGTATGAAAAGACCTCTGATATAATTACAAAAAAAATGTCAGTAAACATAATCTTTGAATCCGGATAAAATTTCTTATTTCATAGGACAAACATACTAAATGTATGACATGCAAACAACAGTTCATCATTCTTGTAAACGTACAATTAAAATCTATCAACTATGTAATATTTTGAATATATTTCTGTAAATAAATTCATAAATTATCTTAAAAATGTCCGAATAATTGCCTAGACAACTTATTAATCCATGCAAATAATATCTAATGTTTATCTCTTTAGTATTCATTAGTTTTTTTTTCTAGTATTTTCTTTTTTTTGCATTTCTTTTTTTCTTTTCTAATGTTTAACAACTCTTCGTTTTTTTTTCTTTTATCTATTTTTCTAATGGCATGTTGAGAACAAGAGGATATGAGTGTTAACTGAGTCTTTCTATTCTTAGGTTTCATTTTTCTCTGTGCTCATATTTATAATTAAAAAAAAAAAGAAGAAGAGAAAACGTGACAAATTACGTATATATCTTATTGACATAGCGTTAGCTCTTAGACATACTTTCTTATTATTTGTATGTAACGAATACATTAAATAAAATGTCGATGTCATTGTTTGAAGCATGTGAAAAAGGTGATAGTAATCAAGTGAAATTACTAATCAATGAATACGTAAGAAAGTTTTCTTCTTTTTCTTTTTGCCTAAAATAAATTCTTTAGTTTAATGTTAATCAATTGGATGGACAAGGTCGTTCAGCACTTCATTATTGTTGTGATAATACAATTACTGATTGTGCTTATCTCTTATTAAAAGATGATTCAATAAAAGATACCATTCTTAATTTACAAGATAATGAAGGTTGTTCAGCACTTCATTTAGGTATGCTGACAAATAAGATTTGAAAAGAAAAACATCTATAAATATAAATTCTAGCATGCATGAATGGTAATGAAATTATGGTGAAATTTTTATGTGAACAAGGTGCAAATGTTAAATTACTTGACAATGAATCTCGTTCTGTTATTCACTGGATAACAGGTAAATTTATTTAAAATTTAGAAAAAATGAAATAAATATTTGTATATTAGTCTGCGGACATCTTCATCTTTTTGATATTCTAATTCAATATAAAGCACCTCTACATACACCTGATATTCATGGTGTTTTTCCTATTCATTATGCATCACAATTATGTGATGTTTCGGTAAATAAAGATTTAAAAATTGATTCAGAAAAAGGTAATATAAATATTTTCAAAATAATATATTAGAATATTTTTAAATTAGGTTTGGCTATTTTACAAAAATTCATGGATTATAGAGTAGATATTGATTGCATTGATGAACAACAACGTACACCATTTATGTGGGCTGCTAGTGCAGGTTATGTGAAACGGTTTATCTTCATTTTTTTTCTAGACAAGATTGATGCTAACATTAAACATAATAAGGATTCAAATGATGAATGAGACATTTTTCTATCATTAGAAGTCGATTTCATGATGCATGAAACTCATAAATTATAATTCATCTAACATTGTAAGAATTCAATGTTTCATTTTCAGGTAATATTGAAGAATTACGTTTATTATACAAATATGGTGCCAATCAATTACATGTTGATAAAGATTCACTTAGTGGTATAAATTAATAAAATATTTTATTTTATTTTATTTTTTGTTTTTATTTAGCACTTCATTGTGCAGCAAATCATGGTCATCTTTCTTGTATTCATATGTTAGTAGAACATTATAAATGTCCAACAGAAGGTTTGAATTAAATTAATTGAATAATTTTTTTTTTTAATATTTAAAAGATTATTTAGGACAAGATATTAATGGTTGTACAGCTTTGTTTTATACTATTATGCATAATCATTCGAATGCATGTCAATTATTACTAGATTTAAAAGCAAATCCTAATCATAAAGATAATCGTGGTCGCACGTATGTTTACATAAACAATTTATATTGAATCTTTTTTCTTTACGAATTTCATATAGACCAAGTCATTACGCAATATGCAATGGAAATCTTGAATGTTTAAAATGTTTAATTAAATCTAATGCTAATATATGGTTAAAAAATAAACGTGGTGATTGTCCAATACATGAATTAATAAATACTCTTTCACTTAATAAAATTCGTAATCAAAAAATAGAATATTCACAAATTTTTGGTAACAGAAGAAGTTTTGTTTTTTTTTTGATTAATTAATTTTTTTTTAGCTGTTATTCGATATATTTTTCAAATATATCCAAATAAAATTAATATTCAAAATGATGAACATCGAACTCCTCTTCATTTAGCAGCAAGTTTAGGTGACATTGATACATGTCAAGTTTTAATTGAATGTGGAGCAAAAATTAATTCATTTGTACGAAATTTAGCTGTAAGTAATAGATAATAAATATTAATGTTTTATTATTCAATTGAAATATTCATCCGTTAAGAATTAATTTTTATGCAAGTCATATGAAAAAATTTTTACTTTGAAATATGAATAAACAGAATATAAATAGAAATAATTTGTTAACAAAAAAAAGAAGACTAAGCATGAAAATATTAAGAAAATAGTAGATTAATAATATTTCATATAAGCTCATAAGTAGAATAGAATTGACATCAGGATAAGCAACGCAAAACGCAAAAAAAAACGTTGTAGAAAGGGATCAACACGCTAACTATGCCATTAGCAGGTGCTTAATCCTTTTTAGATGGAACGGAACCGTTATTGGGGAAAGGAGATAGGTCGAAAAAGCAACGAGATTTCATTACTTCGAAATTTAGTTAAAGTACATTAACATATGAACGAAATATACTGATATACGAATAAAGTGCTATACCTAACCGTACTTCGGTGTACTAAAGTTTCATTTTTTACTCTCCTCGTTTCATAGAGGAGAGGTTAACAAGAGCATCTCTTCAGTTGTTACCTTCTGATTTCAATGATTTTTTTCTTCTTATATAGGTACTACATAAAACTCGTATTTTTAAATTTTGATCGGAAATTTTTCGCACATATGAAATTTAATTGGATGAACTTCCATGGGAAAACTCAGAAGTTTTGAACAAAATCTGTTCGATAATATGTGACTTTGAAGACGTAAATCCTTATCTATGCATGGTGCAAATAACATGTATTTTTTGAAAGGTTCATATCTCGAAGACACTTTGTTCAAAATTTCTGAATTTCTTTAGGAAAGCTAATTTAGTTGAGTTTTCTATATGCGTAAAATATTTAGATCAAAATTCGGTTAGTTATCCAAATCTCAATAGTAATCATAATTCTTTCGAGTTTTTATTACAATACTATGTAGAAATCTATTGGAATTGGGAGTAGACAGTTGACGAGGTTCTTTTATTAATGTCCTCTAGCTTCCGTCTGGTTACAACATTAATTAAGCTGTCAAATACGATTGTTCTGACTCATAAATCATAAAAGATGAAAACATGGTTACGAAAATCTTTTTTTCAGTATAATTAAACCTGAAGAGATGAATACGGAGAGAGGCAAATCAAGTAAAATTCAGACTTGATTTAGATCATAAAAAAAACTCTGACTTACCTATCTCTAGACAAGTATTCCAAATCGAACCTTTCTTTTTCATGGGCTTGACATCAACAGACCTCAAGATGTGTCTGCATCAAAACGACTCTCTTTCCATATATCAGCATTTGAACGTTTGCATGAGTTATATGCACGTCTAAAGCAGCTCATGTGCTAAACTCATGAAAATCATACGAATGAGCGCACTTGAAACAATCAACTGGAATAAAATAATAATAGCTTCTATGGTCAAAGTGAAAGAATGTTCTTTGTCATTAAGCATGACTAAATATGCTCACTCATGTATATTTGCTTCTTTCGCCTATCTGTCACAGACTTCAGTATTTAACCTGTAAATTTTTATTATTAAACAAATCATTTTGAGTGTAAAACTGAAGAAACTAAAATTAATCTCATGCATAATAGACAGTTTTTATAATTGTGACGGATGATTGAATTCAATCAAGTATTAGAATTATTTGCCTGCGACTGGGGTGAACTTTTTTTATTGGTCATTTGTGATCATATTTATAGCCACTTGAGCAAGAAAATCAAGCATTTGCACTTACATTCAAGCACTGCAAGAACATGAGGAATAATCTTCGATCAGGAATATACCGTAGGAAGTAGAGAATATCATAGACAGAAAACAATCATTAAATAGAGAAAATAGACATATTTCTGGATATGAATCAGTTGTTGATTGTTGTTTCATAAAAAGAAATCCATACTAATGAATGACTAGAAGTCATAAACAATCAACTAGACAATCATTTTCAACAATTTAAGGATCTCCTTTTCGAAGTTTCCGAAGAACAGCTTGTTAGAACAACTTGAAATTTTCAGAGCATATAATCCTTGCCCAATAGAGCAAAAGTTGTCATAGACTCGAAATTTCCGAATGATATCTTCTATGAAATACTGGAATAATAATGACGTCAAATTTTATACTCCTCTTAAACAGTGTATAGTATATATGAAAAAAAAGTTTCAGCTCGACCAGACACTCTCAAGCAGAGAAACGGGATGTTTCTATATCCTTTTTTTTTGAAAAGGTTTGTGTAAGAAAAGAGTGAAACAATTTATAGTTTTCGTCAATTTGGTTTTTTTTATCGTTTTTCATTGATAATATAGATTTGCAGTATCGTGAATGTCGTAGCAGAAAAAGTCGTGTTCCAATTATTCTTTGTATACAAAAGTCTCTTACTGATCATGATTATTTCTCATTAGACAGTAACTGACAACATAGGTCAGGTAAACTCTAGCACTGCTGAACTCGACTAGTTTTGAATTACTTTCATCCGAGAGAACAAAAGTTCTGATACATAGAGGAAAATTTGTTTTTTCCTTTTTTTCTCGAAATCAACTTTTACACTACAAAAGAAGTACAGAATCACTCCCGTTTCTTCCACATAGCATGTTTGATCAGACTGAAACTTTTTCCTATAGGGACTAGACACTGTTTGAAATGCCTAATTCTTTTCTTTCGAGAAAAATTGCACCGTAATTTCCTTAAAACATTTATGTTCATTTAGAAAAGTGCAAACTAATTTGAATAGTGTTCTTATATAAATAATTGTCTATTTAGGGTGACTACTTAACACCATATGATCTTGCTCATAATTATCATCAAGATGCGTGTACTAAATATCTTGTTTATACACACGGAGGTCAATCTGGTAATGTACTTGCTAATATTGTTGCTCGACGTATTCAAAAATATTATCATCAATATAAATTACAAAAAAGTTCATTAGTTACTGAAGAAGAAAATTGTAATTTTCAAATAAAAAATGATTCATTTAAACAAACAATCAATCATTCATTGATTCCATCAAAAAATTCAAAATCTGATTTATTAAAACAATCAAAATTACCTTTAGATGATAAAAAATCTTACAATCGTTCAAAATCTCATTCATTAACTGTTCAATCATTAAGAATAAGTACTCCTAAGTTAAATGAAGATCATGTACAAGAACGTCGTCGTAATTTTACTAAATCAAAAACAACAACAACAACAACAACAACAGATCATAATGATGAATCAAAGTAATTTTATTTTTTATCTTTCATTTTTAAAACAATTTTTGTTTTTCAAAGATTTGAATCATCTGGTAAAATTATTATTCAAACATCACATTCAATTGGCACATATACGAAATTATATGATCGACGTAAAATAATTGCTGAAGAATTGCATAAATTAAGAGAAGCACGAATTCATAATAATAATGTATGATATTATTAGAGATACAATCAATATATACAATTTTTTTTCTTGTTATTCTTTCTTGTTAGATAGTTATCAATCGATCATTATATAAAATCTTAATTGAAAACGCTTACAACCCACAAAATCGATCTGTTGATGAAATTGAAAAATATCTTGAAACATTAATTACATCGTATGATACAGAATTAGAAGCTATAAGACAACATACTAATGTAAAAGAATAAATTTTTGAATCAAAAGAAATTCCAAAAAAATAAAAAAATTTTATTTCTAGAGTTTACCATCGAAACAAAATCGTCGTACTTCACTTATGTTTTAATCACTTATCTTAATAGAGTAGCAATAACAATAATAACAACAACAACAAATACAAAACAAAATAGTTACTCATATATTCATTAAAAAGTTTTTTTTTCTTGTACTTTTTTTTTTTTCCTTGAATTACGATCACTAATTTCACCTTGTACGGTTGACAGTCAATAATGATAATAAAATGAAACGCTTCATCGAACAAGTCAGAAAAAGAAAGGCTGCTCATTTTTTTTTCGGTGACTTGTCTCAGTTAAAATTTTCGATGTCATGGTTTCTTTTTTTATACTTTCGTTAATTTAAAATTATTACAGATATTTTACTTTTCAGTCGAACAACGTAATTTAATATTATGAGTTACGAAGAAATTGATCGATCAGTCTATGGTAAAGATGTTTTTACTAATGGTGCCGAAGGTCGTTATGCTAAACCTAAGCCTACATCGACAAATGATGCATCAGAAATTTCAATAAAAACCAGTACAACAAAAAAACGAGCACCAAAAGCTACTACCATATCAACAACAGATAATCCAACTGAAGAACCATATGAAAATGAATATAATGATGAAGTAGTTAAAACCAAAAAGAAAACACGTAAAGTTCATGAAAATGGTGAAACACACAATGAGAATGAGATTTCTCAAATTAATTCGACTATTGATGGTGAAATTATTGTTAAATCGAAGAAAAAACGAGCATCAAAAATCGATTTAAATAATGAAAATATTGATTCAATACTAATACCAACAACAGCAACAACAACAATAGAAAAACCTGTGAAAAAGAAAAAATCCAAAGCACCAAAATCAATATCATTGGAAGAAGATTTTCAAATGTTGGATAATTCACTTATGGATGAATTAGATGAAGCCGCAACAGAAAAAAAAGTTAAAAAGACAAAAAAACATAGAACATCTAAAAAATCAGCAGAACCTACAGAGTCATTTGATGATTTACAAATCAACAATACAAATGAATATACTACTAATTCAGGTATGTATTTATTTAAATATATATGTATATGTTTGTTTATCAATTTTTACAATTAATTACGTTCACCACGAATTCGTCGAGCCAATTGAATATCTTTTGGCATAATCTACGCAAAAAACAAATAGATAGTCACTTTGTAAATCATTTCCTCGAAAAAAAAATGACACTTACGGTTACACGTTTCGCATGAATAGCACATAGATTTGTATCTTCAAACAAGCCAACAAGATATGACTATAAATATAACACGTAATTAATAAAATGGTTAATTATAATGTTTTTCATATTACTTCACAAGCTTCTTGTAAAGCTAAAACAGCTGATGTTTGAAAGCGTAAATCTGTTTTAAAATCTTGTGCTATTTCTCTAACTAAACGTTGAAATGGTAATTTTCTAATAAGTAATTCTGTTGATTTTTGATAACGTCGAATTTCACGTAATGCAACTGTACCCGGACGAAATCTATGTGGTTTTTTAATTCCACCAGTTGCTGGTGCAGATTTACGTGCTGCTTTTGTAGCTAATTGTTTACGTGGTGCTTTTCCACCAGTTGATTTACGAGCTGTTTGTTTTGTACGTGCCATGATGAATTTAAAATGATATGATATAGTGATAAATATAGTTAAAAGAGAATAAGAAAAGAAAGATATATCGGATTGGAGGAATAAGTTATATGTTTACTAACCAACGACGATTTAGATTTATGAAAGAAAAATGAAATTTTGTAAATTACTTTTTTTTTGTATTATAGAATTTAATGATGCATATAAATATGATGGTGCATATGGCTCAACTGCTGGCGATATATCTTATGATGCACCACCACCATATCCCGGTGAAGATGAACAATTTACTGATGACTTTTTACGAAGTGACTATGAAGCAGAAATAACAGATGCATATAATAATTTAGCAGCAGCAGTTGATTTTGGACAATATGTTGGTGACGATAGTTGGTGTATTATATATTTTCCAAAATCAGCTCGACTAGAGCCAAAATCACGCATACGAAAAATGTTACCTGGTGGTAAAGATGATAAATCAGATGGAAAACCATCAACAGGAAAAACAACAAATGAAAAAGGTGGATTTTTAAATCGTCTTCGTTCAGGTGTAAGTATGCTTGTAAAAGATGAACAAAATTTACTATTTGGTGAACGTTCAAATTATGATTATCTTATGTATGAGGATGTAGACGATGATATTGATACAGATAATTTACATCGTTATGCACAAAAATTACGTGATTTAGAAGATAATGATAAAGAAGTAAATCCTGAATATCTTGTTTTACGTGATGGTAAAACAGTTTATGCTGTACAAGAAACTGATGTTGATGGAAAAACAAAATTATCAACACGTAAACCAATTTATGATCGTTTTGTTGATCAAAAACCTGATGATGAACCAATGGAAAAAAAGAAAATTTTCTCTCGCATTAAAAGTACATTTTCTCGAAATAAAGATAAAGACAACAAAAGCATCACTTCACCTAAATCATCTTATGACACACCGGATGCTAATAGAAAACGAAGCTCAAAGAAGTCAAGCAGCAAATATACTGATGATGGCATGGCAACAACAGCAAATAGCGAACTGATAATGAATTGAAAAATGACTCTGTATTATGTGTGTGAATGAGAGAAAAGAAAGCGCACATAGTTTTTGCTTATTTCTTATTTTCTGGTTGTGTGCGTGTTCTGTGAGAGTTTGCGTTCTTTATATATATACATCTATTGGCTTTTCCGAGAGGAAAAAAAAGGAAAAAATTCCTGCTTCTCTCGGTCGCGTTTACTTGTTGCGCTTGGCAAAAGCGTCAGAGTGAGTGGAACTAGAACCTAATTTTGTTCTTCCTCCATCTCGGCGGCTGCTTGTTGTTGTTGCTCGTACGTTCGATGATTAATAGACCAAATTTTCCTTCTTTTTTTTCTATTACTACTATCATAATAATCAATAGTCTTGAGTTTTCTTATTGATTTCATCACTCATCATAATGGTAAGATATGCACAGAAATAAAGCTCAGCTTCATATAGGAACGTTTTTTTGTGTTTTTTTCTTTTTAGGTTGATTTTTATTAAGCAATAAAAAAAAGCTATTTTTCATAATCTGTGAATAAATTTTAATTAAAAAATAATAATAAACAATGGCAGTGAATTTACTTGGTAATTCAGATATTGATGCACGTATTATTCTTAATGTAGGTGGTACACGTTTTGAAACATTAAAATCAACATTAAAAAAATTACCAGCTACACGTTTATCAAAATTAACTGAACAATTATCATATTATGATCCAATATTAAATGAATATTTTTTTGATCGTCATCCAGGAGTTTTTTCTCAAATATTAAATTATTATCGTACAGGAAAATTACATTATCCAACAAATGTTTGTGGACCTTTATTCGAAGATGAATTATCATATTGGGGTTTACAACGTGAAGAAGTTGAACCATGTTGTTGGTATATGTTTTAATTGAAAATACTAATTTGAATATGTATTGTTTTTGTTTTTGTTTTATTTAATTTTAGGATGACTTATACAAAACATCGTTCAACAGCTGAAACATTATCAATATTAGATAGTTTAGAATTAGATACTGTACGATCATCTAAACAAGAAGTCCTTAAAAAATTTGGTTGGGATGACAATTATGATTATGTACAAGGTCGTTTACCCAAATATAAAAAAATGATGATGATTATATGGCAAATATTTGAAGAACCACGATCATCCACTATAGCTAAAGTTGTTACTGTGATTTCAATATTTTTTATTCTTGTTTCAATACTTTCCTTTGTTTTACAAACATTATCAATGTTTCGTATCACTGAAATCGATTTTGTTCATGTTTATATTAATAAAACAACAACAGATCGAACACCAACATTAAATCGACAACAAGTACATCCAACATTTGATATTGTTGAATGGATTTGTATGTTAATATTTAATCAAATTTGATTTATTTTGTTTCTTTTTTTGTTTTTAATTTTAGGTAATTCATGGTTTATATTTGAAATAATTGTAAGATTTATCGTTAGTCCAAGTAAAAAAGATTTTTGCAAATCTACATTAAATATAATTGATTTTCTTGCAACATTTTGGTTTTTCTTTACATGGGCATTAATGAAATTAAATGTGAATGATAATGAAGCACTTGATTTATTATCAACAATACGTACAATGCGTTTATTTAAATTATTTAATCATCATCCTGGTTTAAAAGTTATTTTAACATCAATGAAATATTCATCATCTGTTTTATGGTTATTAATATTTTTTGTTTTAATTGCTGTTGCTGTATTTGCATCATTAATTTATTATGCTGAACGTATGACAAAAAATCCAAATGAAAATATGTTTACTTCAATACCTGATGCATTATGGTTTAATATGATTACAATGTCAACAATAGGCTATGGAGATTATTATCCAAAAACTATCTTAGGAATGTTAATTGGTGCTGTTTCAACAGGTATAGATGTTTTCTTTTTAGATTAAAAATAGAAACATGATTTAATTAAATTTGCATTGTTTTTTTTCAATTTATTTTAGTTGCTGGTGTATTGATTATTGATTTACCTATGCCGATTATTGTTGAAACATTTGCAAATTTTTATACTCATCTTCGTGCACGTTCAAAATTACCGAAAACTCGACGAAAAATTGGACCACCTGAATTAACAGTTAAAAAACGAACACCAATATCAGCAATAGATAATGGACAAAATCTTAAATTACTTGGACAAACAACAAAAACTTCGATGTTTGGAAGTAAAACAATGATGAATAATAATCTTATGTCATCGATGGCGTAAAAAAAAAATCAAAAAACAGTAGAAAAACTGAGAATATTTTATTTTTTATTTGTATGATTTAGTCAAGTATGTAAGTGAAAAAAAATGTAAATGAGTTAAAATGTTGTATTTAAGTGTCAACATCAGCATTTTCCTGAAAAAAAGAAAGAGTTGTTTTTTAAGAAAAAAAAAAAATTTTTTTTTTATTTGAAACATTTTTCAAACCTTTTCTTTGTCTTCTTCACTAATCCTTGGAGAGTTTTCCGATTGTTGCAGATCAACATTTGTTGGTGTTGGAGTTTCTTCAGTTGTAGTTCTTGGTGGTGTTGGAGTTTCTTCAGTTGTAGTTCTTGGTGGTGTTGGAGTTTCTTCGGTTGTAGTTCTTGGTGGTGTTGGAGTTTCTTCAGTTGTACTTCTTGGTACTGCTGGAATTTCTTCAGATGTAGGTTTTAATACCCTTTGATCTTCTTCAGATGAAGGTTTGGATACCTTTGGATTTTCTTCAGATGCCAGTTTTGACAGTGTTACATTAGTTTGTTGAGGAGGTTTGTTAATTGTTGGCTCGTCTTTTGCTGATGTACATGTATTACCCATTTTATTTCGTGATTTTTTTTTTCAGAAGGTAAAATGAAGAAAAAGTAAAACGTATCAAAAACTAATTTCAAATGAAACAACTGACTGTGTCACAAAAGTCAATCAGACGAGGAAAAAAAAAAGAGTAACTATGTACTTTGCGTCACAGAGAGTTGTCTCGCCTTCCTTTTATATGATTGAATAAAATTATCTTATATGAAGTGGTTACCTTATCTTCAACTTATACACACAAGTGTAGAGCAAACATTGTTGTTATAAACAGATTTGGAATGTTAGATGAATCAAACGATAATAAAAGTCAAGATTGTTGAAGTATTCAAACAAATTCAGCTGAAGAAAGATCTAAGAATAATTATGAGAAATTGAAGTCTATGAACATAAATATATATTAAAAGTTTTCTCTATAAATTTAATAAAATGAATAGAACTATTCGACAGATGGTGTTATTATACAGTTTATAATATTTTACAATTATTTATGTGATTGAATCCCTATCAAAAATAAGTCAAATTTATTTACTTAGCAACTTCATTTGAATTGAAATCATTTTCTTGAATTTTTTCAATGAAATATTTATTGATTGGATATAAATGATAAAAAATAATTGAATATTCTATTTTTATCGCTAAATTTTTCTCGCTGATCAAATTATGACAAATAATTTTTATATGAATCTCATATATTTACCTATATTTTATTAAGAACTATGACTAGTCGGTTAGCTCGTGGGTAAATAAAATCAAACTTGTATTACATCAATCGATTACATCAACTATTTATTTTAGTTTTTTTCATCGAGATTTATCTGTATTAGACGCTGAAAAACTTTTACAAGAAAAAAATATTCCTGGTAGTTTTCTTGTACGTCCATCACGTTCAAAACCTGATGCATATGTACTTTCAGTTCGGTATGAATGTTAAACGAAAATGAAAAAAAAAAAAACTGAATTATTCATTTTTGTTTTGTAAAGACAAACTGACGGTGAAATAACACATATACGTATTCAAAGAACTAATGAAGGTTTTGAATTAGGTCAAAAACAAGAATGTTTTTCAACATTATATGATATGATTAATCATTATCGTCGAAATGTTGGAGACCTTAGAGATAACAATAATCAAATTATCGAATTAACTACTCCAATATTAGCAAAAATGCCAACGTTTGAAAAGTAAAAGAAAAAAAAAACCATGTAAATTAGTTTTCTTATTGATTATTTTATTAATAATAATAATATTTTAGATATTATCATGGATCAATATCACATCCTCAAGTTATGTCTCTTTTAAATAAATATGGACAAAATGGTACATTTCTTGTTCGAGATTCCGAAACTACACCTGGTGATTATGTTATATGTGTAAAAACTTCTGATAATATAGCTAATATAAAAATAAAGTATTCAAATGGTCAATGGTTTCTTGATGGTAAAGGTCGACAAGAACAAATTGATCATTTTAAATCATTAGATGATTTAATTCATTTTTATTTAAAACATAATATTCTCGTTGGAATAAATGGTGTTTCTTTTCGTCTTGTGCAACCATGTACATCTAATTGGTTTTATGCTCGAGATATTCATCAACGTTGTGAATATTTATCAAAATTAACACCATCACAAAATGGACAAAAAAATGGTTTTAGTTTAGAATTTGATTTATTAAATCAACAAAATGAATCTCAATCATTAAAATATCATAAAAAAAATGGAGAAAAACAAGAAAATAGAATTCGAAATCGATTTAGAAATATTTTACCATATGATGAAACACGAATTATTTTGAAAAATTATCTAATTACAGATTATATGAATGGAAATCGCGTTCGAACGCGTTATGAAGGTATTAGAAGAGAATATATTGCTACACAAGGACCATTACCTGTGACAGTTAATGATTTTTGGCATATGGTACAACAAGAATTAGTGAAATGTATCATAATGATAACACGAGAAATAGAAGGCATGAAGGTATTTAATTAAACACATTATTACAAACAATATTTCATAATTTCCCTTGAGTTTTTTATTATATGGAGAGTTTTATCATACTATTTTCTCCAATTCTCCTAAAATATATTTTGTTTTTAATGAAATAGAACAAATGTGCACGTTATTGGCCTGATTTGCATACAACAAAAAAATATGGTACAATAACAGTTGAAAATATAAATGAATCAAATTATGGTCCACCACAAATATGGCATAATACATCACGTACATATCATGCATTTCCATCATCATCACAGCAATTACTAAAAGATGATGATTGTTGTTATCGTGTACGTACATTAAGAATAACAACTGAAGATAGAAGAACATGGGACATTTTCCATTGGCAGTATTTAGCATGGGGTGACCATGGTACGATAAATAATATTTCTTATTCATAAAGTTAATTTTGTTTTTGTTTTTTTTTTTTGGAAGATTCTCCACTTGCATCAAATCAACGTGACAATACTCAACTTGGTATACTTCTTGAATTTTTTGAAAGAATTGCGCAAACGCATCCAGCTGGTTTGGATAAGTCACCAATGGTTGTTCATTGTAGTGCTGGAATTGGTCGATCAGGTGCAACAATTGCAATTGATACAATATTGAATAAAATTCGTGCTAATGGACTTGATATTGAAATAGATATTCCAAATTTAGTTAAACATATTCGTGCACAAAGATCAGGTAAATTACTTGCTTTCTTCAACAAAAGTAAAATTTATTTATGAAAATATTCTTTTTTTTGCAGGTCTTGTTCAAACTGATCGGCAATATGAATTAATCTATCGTATGGTTGAATATTTTGTCGAAAAGTATCAACATCCAACGGACAGTTTAAACAAACAGTAACCTTCAAAATTATGCAACGAGGTTTATTTTTAAAGTTTTATCGTTGTCATAAATGCTATGAAAAGCCCATATTGACATTGGAGTAAAAAAAATTTTATTTCCGATAAGAATTATTGAAGTTAAGAATCATGACTAATTTTTCAAGGATAGGATTTCTGAAACAATTCAAAACTAAGTTTTTCAGTTCCTGGAATTTACAATCATTATTCTATTTGAATGACTTAGCACAATAGAGCAAACAGCTCTCTACCAAATGAAACATTTTTCGACCCTCTATATTATTTGTGGTCAAGATAGATTAACCTTACAGATGGCACAAAAGTCGTTTTTTCTATTATTCGAGATTTTGGTAATACGATTCTGGTCTCGCCGGCATTGGGACCAGCAACAAGTCTTTTCCCTTTGGATTAGTATATTTTACAGTCATGTGAAACTTATTCCAAATGTCATGTTCTCACGACTTGTGTGAGCTAGACGTTTGTGCGAATATTATTGAGTAACAGTGTTCGATATGGATCAAATTTTGTGTGATCCGATTTCACCTGAGCACAGTTTGACCTGATCCGACCTCGTCCTAGGTCAGCTATGTTTTTTTTTCGTCATTCAACTCGACTTGAGCTGAGCACTATTGAGTAACTACTATCTCAATATTTGCTGTTACAATTTTGATAGTAAAATTAATCCATTTGCTTTTCCTATACAACCAAGTTGTCGAACACATCAATATGTCTAATAAACGAAGCATTAGTGACTTTAAAAAATGTAATGAACTTCGAACAGGGAACATATCAGACGCCATGTTAGATGCCTTGTGCTTATTGGTACTGCTAGAAAATGATATCGCATATTTTGCTAGTACATGTATTATTAAGCGCTAAACCAGAACTAAACATTTTTTTCTGATCGTGACTAAAAATGATATCTTGTTGGAAATAAAATTTTTTTGCTCAAATCATTATTTAGATTTTTCTTAGCATTTACGACAGCGAAAAAAACACGGGAAAATAAATCTGCTTGAATAATCTTCGGAGGAGCCGTATATATATTTTTTTATTTATTTATTTATTTTTCTGTTTTGGCAAACATTATTCTACGCGAACAGTCGTAGTCAGATTAGTTCTTCATAGGAACATTTCTAAGCTTTATAGTGACGCTTAACTAATTAACATCTATAGAACTTTTGTTGTACAATGCATTCGTCTTTCGTTTTTTTTTTTTTTTTGTAATTGTAATTATTTATTTATTTATTTTTCATTGTAGATGCCCATCATTGATGTTAAGCGAAGTACACTTTTTGATGAATTTAGGCAAAAATTTAGTAAGTTTTATTTTTGAATTAAATAATAAAGATGAATAATAAGTTGAATTTCTTTTTTAGCTGATGAAGAATTCGGTTAATTATGTTTTGATTATGGATTAGAATTGGATGATATTGTAAGTATTAATAAAATAAAATTTTTCTTGTTAAATTTATTATGAATTTTAATATCTAATAGATAATCGAATCATATCATAAGATGGAAAATGAAGTTAATAGAATGAATTTATAACTGTTGGGTTTGGCTTAAAAAAAGAAAAACAAACAATTCAACTTTCTTCAATATTGAATAAAAACTAAATCCTTCTGCTTTATTAGTATTATTTATTTATTGTCAGATTTTCATAATTACTATATGAGTTTTAAATAAAAAACAGAAGACAAATATCAAATGACTAGAATATCTAAAAAATCTTTCGTTTTATTTATTCTACGAATCAAGATCAATCATTCACAGATGATAAACTTCTATATAACATCCATAAAAATGTATGTCAATAAGGAAATTTTGAACAAAAAAATTGTTGAACTGTTTTAGTACTAATAGGCATATTCAGCTATTATCTAATGTCAAGGATAATCTTCACTTATCGATAGTACTAAATCATACATTTACCATGTTCAAACAAATAATTATCTCTTCTGACGAGTGTAATATCTGAAATGATTCATTCATGTTTTTGTCTAAAATTTTACCGAAAATGACCGACACTTTGATTAGAACATTTGTATAATAACTCCAAATCATGGCATGTTATTCCACATTGATAAATGACATTCTTTCTTCTTAACAATATTCGTCTGAAAAAAGAATTGCAGTGATTTGATCTGAAATTTCGCCCGTGGGAAGATCTAATTGAAATTACAATTTTCTAAAAGTTTCAACAAAAATGAATTTGTGTCTGTCTCGAGATATTAAACTTGCAAGAGTTCAGTTAGATGTCGAAAAAAGACATGATATTTGACTTCGTTTTGTAAGTTCAATGTTTCCACACGGTCGCACATTCGATTTTTTATTCAAACTTTCAAGATATTCTAGTTTCAATTAGATCTATCTATCGACAAAAATTCAGGTCAAATTAATGTAATCATTTTTCTTCAACCGGACGCTATTCAAAGAAAAAATATCATTAAAACTTTTATAACTCAGGAAAGTTGTTAGTGAGCTCAAGTGATTGCACAATCATGCCAGAAATGTAACCAGTAAGTCTTTATCAATTTGAAAAAATTTTATTGATATTTCACTTTTTCCTCATAAAATGTGTCGAGAGCAAGTGTAAGGACTCTTATCAAAGTAACCAAACAGTTTTATGTCAAACGATATCAATTTTATTTCTTTGTGTCCCTCTAGAGTGTTTTATTTCTTTAATCGAAATAAATTTCATTTTGGATAAAACACAATCAAAACTGTGTCATTAGAGCTAAACTTCTTAACTAATTTCATGGACATTTCTTTAGAGATTAATTTTAGATTTAGACCATCATTCGAAGAGATAGCTTTGGTTTTTCTTAAAAATCGGATAAGAGAACTGTTGAAACTGATATACTTATCGTTTTAGCACATATCGTACCTACAGGAGCACAATGATGAAAGTAGCAAAAGTTTAGAAGGCTTAGTCCTCATGGGGACTCGGAGCCAAATTACAGCCATGTCAAAGAATTTTCTATTTTGCTTCAGGCATGCTCCGAAAAAAAACAGAAAACAACATTTCAATGTAAAATTTCATCTTCAGATAAATTTAATCGTTAGTAAAGTATTTCTGAAAGTTTCAAACGAAAAGAATGTTTCTTTATCGAGATTTTCAATTAAACTCGCTTTTTTGTGGACTTTCAATAGTAAACGACTATTTGCTCGAAATTCAATAATTCGACAAACGAACATTCTTTTCGGTTGAAACTTTCAAAAAATTCTTTTGATCATTTAATCTATTCATCGACGAAATTTCGGCTTGAAATTTCTGATGCCTATGAAAATGAGCAGACACGACGGATCAGTTCCGAAATTCTCAACTGTTTGCAATTCTAAATCGTTCTAGTATCTATGTTGTTTCTTTCTGATAGAAATATAGATTGAAAATGTGTGGAATATTTGTTTGTTTTTAAAATTCATGAAATCGAAATAATTAAAAGATAAAAGTCTTGTATATTTATGTTTAATTGAAATATAATAATTGTTTTAATTTACTTAGGAACCATTACCCGGAAGCAATGATAATGATGTGGACTATAAAATTGAAATTCCAGCAAATCGATATATTTTCTAAATATATTCTCTAAGTTTGAAAATAAATTTAATATTTAGTTATGATCTTCTTTGTTTGGAAGGTTTAAGTCGAGCATTAAAAATCTTCTTACAAAAGTAAAATTGATTTCTGTATTTTTCTTTGTATTCACATTTCATTTTTCATCATCTATTTTAGAAATGAATTACCAAAGTTTTCATTATCTACCTTAAATAAAGATGAAAAATTAATTTGAATGATAATTTTACCTAATGTACATTTATTTTTATATATTTCTGTTATTAAAATTTATTTTAAACTTTCTTTTCTAATAGACTCAACGTATTCGTCCAATAGTTGTTTGTGTTATTTTACGTAATATTAAATTTAATTCTGAAAGTTTTAATAGTTGTATAACATTACAAGAAAAACTTCATTTAACTTTATGTCGAAATCGAACATTAGTTGCTATTGATACACATGATCTTGATACAATTCAACCACCGTTTATATACGATGCTCGATCACCAAAACAAATTAAATTTTGTTCATTAAATCAACAAAAAGAAATACAAGCAGATGAAATGATGGAATTTTATTTAGTTTGGTTTATTTTAATCACAAAAATAATGCTTTGAATGATTATTATCTGTTTATAATGATTACACATCTTAAACGTTATATAACAATTATTCAAGATTCTGATGTTTATCCAGTTATTTATGATTCAAATAATGTTGTTCTTTCGCTTCTACCTGTTATTAATAGTAAATTATTAATAAGAAAAATTTTTAAAATATCACATTTATTAAACTGTTTAGGTGATCATAGTAAAATGAGTGTGAGTACAAAAAAATGTTTTTATTGAATGTACTGCAACAGATATATATAAAGCAAATATCGTACTTAATATCATGGTAACTATATTTGCTCAATAGTGTGATAAGACATTTGAGTAACTATTTAAGTTAAGTGTTTGAAAAACAAATTATTTTATATCGATTTTTATATAGAATTGAACCGGTTGAAGTTGAACAAGTGGACGGAACTATGAAAATATATCCTGTATGTTGAATACAATATCTCAAAAGTTATGATCTCTTAAGTCATTTCGTCCCCTCCCCTTGTCGCTTTCACAGTACACCTTTTTGCGTGACGGATGGGCATGTTACTTTCATGCTTAGAAATGATGGGATATGGCGCAGAAAAGCACTTTTAAGAAAAAAACTTTTTCAGTGAACAATGCACGAAGGAAATCCTGTTTAGTCAAATGTTCACCTTGATGTACATTATACCCCGTCATGTTCGCAAAAATCAATCTTGGATTATCTATATTAAAATCGCATGAAGTTTTCACAACATGTTAAGGTTGCCGTAAAGAGACTGGTAAAATGTTTAGCTCTATGTCATGACGTTTTCATGAGATATTTTAACAACAATGGTAAAATATAGCTTATTTGGCAACCAAAATGTTTGTGTGGGCTTTCATCCTATACACTTAATTTTTTTAGTTCAATGATTCAAAAAACTAGCGCTCTAATTATAAAAGTACTATTTTATATAATAGTAACAGTGTCTAATTCAAAAAGAGACTCTGTCATGCCTTGCTTCTTGACACGCTCTTTCAAACAAAAAAGATGCTATTGACCACAATGAAGATTCTTCGCGGATGCCTGGATGCGCAATCAGAAAGAGTTAAATAAAGAAAAAAATCACATTTTTTTCATGCAGAGAATGATAGAAATTTTTGGAATAAACGAAGGAACAAATAAAAGAAATCATGCCATTCAGGTAAAGTTAGACCTTCGAGTATTGTTCAATGCATTTATCTCAATTTTCATATTATTGACAAAAATTGACCTTTTTGGAATGGGCCTTTATAAAATAGCAGGATTACCTGTATCTATTAAGTGATGATAACTTTTGGAATATCTTGTATTTTATTTGTTGACTGATAATATTAATAAATATTAGAATTTAAGCGATCGATCTCAAAATGTATCAGTAGAAAAAAAGATGAATCAACGCATTCGAATAGAGTATATTCAAATTTATAAAATAAATTAAATTAAAAATGAAATATATTTTATTATTCTAGAGCAGATGCTCAAATGGCAGCAAAGCTTTTAAATCGAATGAGTCTTCGAACGAAAGTTCTTGATTCAGATACACTTCATGTTGACATACCAGTGACAAGAGCCGATATTTTACATTTTTGTGACATAGCAGAAGATTTTGCAGTAGCCTATGGATTTAATAATATAGAAAAAAAAACAGTTCCAAAAACTAGTTGTATTGGAAATCAAGTAAGAAGAAAAAATATTTCGTTAATTTTTAAAAATGACTTTTTCGTTTCTTTTTTCTTTCTATTATTTTAGTTTGAACTTAATCGAGTATCGGATCTTATACGACATTCAGTTGTTGAATGTGGGTTTTATAGAAGCATTGACATTTACATTATGTTCATGTTCAGATGTGGCAGAGAAATTTGGAAAAAGTATTCAAGACATTCCAGCAGTACATATTGCAAATCCAAAAGCATAAGAGTTTCAAGTAAGATTTTCCAATGAAAATAGATTTTGAATATATTTTTTGTTTGTGGTACATGATTAATTTTTCGAACAAAATCAAAAGACATCATTTTTGGTATCTCGAGTCTAGTACAGCAAAAATATGATATAGAGAGTGAATAGATTTAGCAGATAAACTATGAAAATTGGGGTCATTTTTGGCAAAAGCCGCCACTCGGTATATTGAAACTATCTTGAAATATTAGAAAAACAAGAGCATTAGTTAAGTATATGGTCAATTTCGAGCGCTACTATATATGATTTAGAGGTATTTATCAAAGAAAAATTGTTTATTTTGTGCACTTTTTCCTCATCTGTAAATATCATACGAAAAGGAAAGAGTGAATTTCAAAAGGAAAATCTCTGCTGTCATGTTTCCTGGATGAAACACAGTCGAGAATGTCGATTTTCCTTTACAATAACATATCAATTTAAAAAATACTCAACAATCAATTTTAGATTGGTCGAACATCACTTTTACCTGGCTTATTAAAAACTCTTGCAAGTAATCAAGGTACTGCATTACCAATTCAACTTTTCGAAGTATCAGATGTTATTCTTAAAGATGCGTCATAAGGTTTGTTTTACTTAATAAAATTAAAAAGAAAAAAACATATGCATTTGTTCTTGTTTTGATTAATAGAAACTGGTAGTCGATATGAACGCTGTTTATGTGAGATCTATTATAATCATACACCAGGCTTTGAAATAATTCATGGTTTACTTGATCGAATTATGACATTAGTTAAAGTTTCATATAATGAAAATAAAACGAATGATATAGACGATTATTTAAATAATCAATATGAAAGTATAGTAAAAGAAAGAAGAAGGGAGAAAACATGATGAAATTTTCTTTTTCTTTTTCTAGATAGTGTATTTTTTCCTGATCAACATGCTGAAATAATTGTCTATGGTAAAAATCTTGATGCTATTGGTGTTCTTCATCCAAATGTTATTGAACATTTTGGTTTAAAATTCCCTTGTTCTATTCTGGAATTAAACATTGAACCATTTGTTTAACCAAGAAGTAAAAAAAAAAAGAAAAACAAAACTTTTAATTTTAACTTATTTAATCAATTTTTTCTTTATTATATGCTTGAAGTTTGATTTAAATAAGAGAAACACAACAGATATTTACATGATCTTATAAAGAATTTTTTTGAAAAATTTTTATGAACAATTATTAAAATAAAGAAATCATTAATAAGCTAATAATAATAATCATAATTATTGTCGTTATACTTTTCAATAAATGTTTTGTAACAAAACAAAAAATACCTAACATGCAACCAAAACAAAATATGTTGTTAGTGGTAATTGAAATCGTTACATTTATGTTTTGAAAGAAATAACATAAAAAAAAAGAAAGAATAGAGTTGTATTGTTTTCAAAACAACACTTATCGAAAGTGTAGAAGTGATTGAAACATCGGGTAAAACAAGAAATATTCAAATGTCGAAACAGCAACAAAATCATCAACAAACACGAGTAGCTCGGACATTTGATTTTTGGGGAGGAAGACCGCTTAAACGAACGTCTTCTGATCTCTTTTTTGATCGACCTCGACCAACTAATACAATTTTTTCAGGTAGAATAATATTAGCGTTTTTATTAGTATAATCAATAAATTTTTGAATTCACAGGTCCTAATGCTTTATGGGATCAACGTTGTCAATTACAAGATCTTATTGGAGATATTGGTGAAGGTCAAGCATCGACACTTCGTTCACTTGATCTCGGTTATTTAACAAGGTAAGCAATTTTTAAGAAATATTTATTTGAAAATGCTCGTGTTTCTTTTTTATTTGAATTAAAGAGGATATGCTATAGATCCACCAGTTCGTCGTGCTGCATATCCAGGTGAAATTGGTTGGACAGCAACATATTTTCAACGACACTTTAAACCAACAAAACCGTATACCACATGGTATACTTGAGTTTTCTTTTTTATAAGAGAAACAATTTTTTGTCTGGATTATTTTACATATTTAAACAAATAAAATTGCAAAGATTTGTGTCGAGTTCCTATGAAATAAAAATTAGAAACTGTTTTATAATGTAAAACAAAGATTTACATTGAGATAGTATCACTATTTTATTCAACTTGAGGGTTGAGCTTCGAAAAGCGAGTTGATCCTCCCAGAGTTTGTGGTTATTATACTACGTAAAATGTGTCTGTACTCTCAAAGACATGTGTTTGCTCCCACGAAAGTTTGAAACACCTCTCCAGAAGATAAAATTTGGTTAAAATATTGCCTTTGGGTCTCGGTCTACAGAAAAATATTCCAGATTTTACATGCATCACAATTTAAAAAATTTCTTCAATAATCGTTTTGGTATCTATTTAGATGACGACTAGCACTTTATTGAGTCATCTCGCTTGGATTATGTCCTGATTCATATGATTTATAATATAACTGAAACCATACTTGACTTCTAATTCCAACAAATATATTTTTCTCGTAGTTCTGATCCCGCATATCTCGAATTGCAACGTTCGTTCTATTCATTAAAGTCTTTGATATCAAAATAAATCGACAAAATCAGCGTTTTTTTCAGTTCTAGCAATAATTTTTCTGATTTGATTTTTATTTCTAACGTGGGAAATCCTTCAACTGATTGATTGCCTTTGGAGTTTGGACACTGTGCATTATGTAGACCTTAATGAGCTATGAATATCCTGACAAAAGTCCTGGTCATCAGCTTATTGCTACTGAGATGCGGCATTTTTATACTATTTTTTTAAATTAATATTGTTTTCATGTCTTCTGAGTTGCTCCTTTTCTAAAACGCGAACACCAAATCTGCCAGTGTCTATGAAGTTTTTATCATAACTGTATCTTAGGCTAGAAACAATAAAATGTTCTAAGACTTTTAGAATAAACTATTTTTCTTAAGTTCACTTCTTATAAAAAGCTTCATATTGAAATTCGAAAATGACTTCTGGTATTCCTGAGAGGAACCTCGCCATTGACTTAAAAATAATCGTAAAAATGCAATATCTTCAGTCCGAGCTCGTTTCGGAATGATCATGACTCATTAGGATCTGCATAATATACATAGTCTCGACTAAAAAGTGATTGCTCAGTTAGGAAACTTTCCTCATTAAATTCAGAAATTTTTTTTAAGTGTTCATACAGTTCTTTGAATACATAGCAAGTTAACTTTAATAAGTATGGTTTCAAATATCACAACAGAAACAGGCAATGATTATGTTGATAGAAGAACGTGTTGAATGTAATTCAAAATAAAAGTTCTTATTGCTAATACAATATATCGAAGATCGAGAACTTAGAAACATAATTCAACATAGCAGAAGAGAATATTATTAATAAAGAATTATGTTAACCAAAAGTATGAATAGTAGCGCCATCTTCTAAATAAAAATCTTTAATAGGTAGTTAATATAGTCGAACAAAAAATTGATCAATTGATTGTAGTTATCCATACTATATGTAGACACGAAAACAATTAAATTCATGATGAACAATCGGAACCGAAGCCGAGATGTTTCATCAGAAGATCAAAGTGGTTCATCAAATAAACCAATATCATCATCATATAAAAAACGTCATCAACTATCAACATTATTTAATAAAACAGCTGATGTTGATGATCCACCATTTAGTAGACTTTTTTTATTAATACCAAAAGCTATGTCTGAAGATGAATTACGAAATGCATTTCAAATTCATGGTCATATTCAAGATATTTATATGGTACGAGATCGACGTAGTCAAGAAAGCAAAGGTTATATATTCAAATTTCAAATATTATTTATTTAAATCAAATTAATATCTATTAGGTATTGCATATATTAAATATGAAAAAGCTTCAGCAGCAGCTCGTGCTATGGAAGAAATGAATGGAACAGTTATTGCACCACATACTCGTCCATTAAAAGTTTGTGATTTTTTTCATTTTTTTTTCCAGTATATTTTATTATTATTTATATACTAAATAGGCTATTATATCAAGTACACGTCGTGAAGGTAGTGTACGTGATCCAGATGAACATGAAAAAATGTTACGTTTATTTGTTGTTATACCAAAACATATGACAAAAGATGATTTACGTAAAGTTTTTCAAGTAATTATTAATTTGAATTATAAAAGACAAAAAAAAAATGATAATAATATTTTTAATTTAGAAATATGGTTCAATAATTAATATAAAAGTTATTCGAGATAAATTAACAGGTGAAAATAAAGGTTTTGCTTATATATCATTTTCAAAAGCATCTGAAGCAGCTTATGCCCTTGAAGAATGTGATCAAAGTTAGTAAATACAGATTGTAAAAAAAAAAATAATACATAAAAATTTGAATTAATAATTTCATAGGTTATAAACCAAAATTTGCTGAACCATTTTCATCAAAACGTCATCATGATAATGAAGATACATTACCATCATCAGCTTCAATTTATGGAACTATTTCACCTCCGTATCGTCAAAAAATCTCATCTAGTAAACAACATTTATCACCATCATCAATTTCAAATGATCATCGACCATCACCACCTCCTTTACTTCCATTACCAACAACACGTTCATTATCAAATATTGAATCAAGTTTGTTTTATTTGATTAAATTCAAAATTTTAATTATTTGATGTTTTATATATTTAGATCAATCACTAACACTTTCACCAGTGAGTAATAGTTATCATTTACTAGAGATTAATAATGAACGTCGTTTAATTGTACGTTGTGGAATGACAATAACTAAATATCATATATCAAAATTATTTGATCTTATACCAAATATGGAAGAATGCTCACCACTTAATATAAACACATTTAATGAACGTAAGTTATGAATAAAATTAATTCCTATTTATCTCTTTAGGAAAATACATAAACAAAGAGAGTATGTCTTATTAGGAGAAGTCTTCATACAAATTGACATTTTTGTGAAATTGGATTCGGCCAAATTTAGATTTGAGTCTCTTCTGTGCACATGAACAAGTGAAGAATCAAGGTTTTAGCTATTTATTGATGATTGTCAGAAAAAAACAATTCATGTACTGCGATTTCACCTTTTCATGACTCGATGTTTAATAAATTAAAAGTTTTCGTTTTATTGAAAAGAAAATTATTTAATAAAAAAAAAAAAGAAAAGAAAATGAATAATTAAAACTGTAATTCACTATCTAAACATATACTTAGTTATTAAAATAAAGAAAAAAAACGACAGTATCCAATGCTCAAACAAATATCAATTAGTTTTCATATATTTTCAAAAAAATGAGCGAAGTTAAGCACGAAATAACATTTCGTTATATTGAACTCATAGCACTTCATTTGTCGATCATTCAAAACAATTAGTGATATCGATTTTAAAAACCATGCATAAACAATTTTTATTACTGATCAAGATTTATTTAAAGAGAGCTATGCGTCCATGTTTCTGTGGACCAGACCCGAACTCATAGCTTTCCAGCTGTGATCTTTCTCATGAATATCAAAAAAGCTTAATTTCGATGTGAAACTTTACATAGAAGCATGCCTTAACAAGATTGGTTTATTATGAAAGTTTTCGGTCTTTTGTTTAACTTCTATTCTAAAAATAGAACTTCAAATCTGCCAGTTTATATGAGTGATATAATAGACAGACTATTACTGTAGTTATATCTTCGGATAGGAATAGAAGTAAGGTCTAAAGCATCGACAATAAGCTATTTTCACTAAGGTCTATCTCTAAGCAAAGCTTCGAGTTCAAATTTGGAAATTAGTTCTTCTAGTTTTCTTAAGGTGAATCACAGCATTCATTTTAAAAATGACAGTAAAAATGAGTTCTCTCTGTAGCAGTAAACTAAGAATAGGAGATCTTTTTCAGAATATTCACAATTCATTTTGATCTACATTATGCACATAGTCTTGACTAAAAATCGATTTATCAGTTCGAGAATTTCACTTGTTAGTAGAAAAATCTATTCATGAATTTCTAGAATTATTCGAATCATTGTCTTATTTTCAATTGTTTATCGGTAGAAAGCTTTGTACTTTTTTCATTATT